ATACCCAGGAGTTAAAAGTCCAAGCATCCATAGCATGTTGCAAAGCAGCCCATTAACTTCACCTTCAATTTGGCATCCTCAGTGATGAGCCCCTGCAGAAGAGAGACCTTCGGTTGTAGAGGTGTGAATCTGCAAACATGCAGTAGATATGGAGTTGCTTCAGGAAATCTACGTAGACAAAATTTTGTGGCCAATGTGGCAGAAGATTAGCACTAGCAGGAGGCAACATGTGGACACAAAATGGTGGATGGGGGCAGGCAGACAGTAAATCTACAATCTGAGGGTGGGGAAAAGGAACACAGGAAGCAAAGTTTGCAGAGTGCAATTCTGTGGTGTGGTAACAGCTTTTGTGTGAGCAGTGTGAAGCTTTTGGTTCTGCATTGGGCCATCATGAAACCACTCTGCAGAAAGCTTAATGTATGGGAGGGAATTAAAATGCAGTTTTACTTCTGACTATAAGAAGAGAGGCTGTATTGGGATCTCTAGGATGTGAAGCAGCATCCCAAGCACCCCATCCGCAGACAATCTATTTTCAGAGGATATTAAAAAATACCATATTTATTTGTTGCATATTGATTAACCAAGCTTTTATTAGAAGTGACATGCAGGGAGGCAAGTTTTGGTCCTTTAAAATAAATATCAGGGATTTTCTCAGACTATGTTACAGGAAAGGGAAGTGGTTGGCTATGTATGATTTAGATGTTCCCTGTGAGTAGGTTATTAATTTTTTTTCCTTTTTTAATTTTTTTTTCTTTCCCCAGAAGACTCATGACTACATTTTGTAATTGCAAGAGTGGATTATGAAATCAGTAACCGTTCCCTTTAAGTGTCAGAGCGAGACAGTCTTTAAGAAACGAAACCAAAACATGAGGTAGAAACCTAGAACAGGGTACAGTTTTACAGCTGCCACTTTCAAGATTATTACAAATTTCTCTGGCAGTAAAGCATAGGAATTCAGGCTGAGGTGCATGTCGTGTTTTAGAAGTAGCTGTAAGTTGGGGTGGGAAGAGTGTTTCTGATCACATTTACAATCCAGCTTCTTTCCTTTGACAGTTCATTCTGGCTGCTGGGTAGGACCCTCTGAAGCAGGTAGACAGTCTCCTACCACCCTCCAGTGGTTTGCGGAGCACAGTGCAAGGGGTAATGTTCAGAAAGCTTATTCAGAAAATGAAAAGGGGGCTGGGGATATTTCCGGCTTTCCTCTTGGGATACATATTGCTGCATCGTGGATTTGTTTGGTGACTTGTGTAAAAGATCTTGTGGTTGGTTGTTAGAGGTTATGAAGTGTTTTAGCACACCTGTTCTGTGGAGCATAATGTATTCATGCGATTGCTTGCATTTGCAGGACATTAAACTATTTGCATCTGTGATGATTTCCAGTCTGTGTTTGCGTTGCTGCCGGGATTAAGGAATCTGTGGGTGGTGACAATCAGATGTACAACAGTGAAGGGGTGCTTTGGAGGAGGCTGGGCAAAAACTACAGTGTTTGCCTATCAATTTAGTGACTCAATAATTTGCAAGTCATAAGTGTCTCCTCTGGCTGTTACAGTCTTCCATTTCTTTCTCTCCTTCCAGTCTCTAGAGCACCTTAGGAGTATTAACATATAAGTTTCCAAGGAAAATTGCATCTGGGCACTTACTTTTGTGTTATTTTTCTGTTCTTGGTGGCATCTGATATTCTATCCATGGCATGTCACAGTGTCATCAACCTGATGATTGTACATTTTTCTAGATCACTGATGAAGATAATAAAATGTGATGCAATTTATTTTTATCTTGCCACCATGAATGTAGAGAGCCATGAGAATTGCAGAAGCTTCAAAAAACAGCAGAGGTGAATTTGTCAGTCGTTAAGGCGGCATTAATGCGCTGTGTGACATGGTAGCACCTGCCAGACTTACCCACCCAACTTTAGGCTATATCAAGTCCTGGACTATAAAGCACAAGTGAAAGGGGCTGATGCTTTCACTGCTCAATATATTGTTGTCTCATAGCCTTTGCTATGGATTTTCAAGAAATTTTTATTTCACATAACTGTGCTTTTATCCAAGCAAGTCTGTGCTACCATTAATGTTAAATTTTCAATTTAAACCTATTGCAAAAATCCTAAAACAGTGAATTGCACTTTTCTGCTCCAGGGCAACTTAAATTGCTGGCTTACCTGCTAACATCACTCATCTAGTAGACAGTGACAGTAGTCACTGTAGTTGAGAGGAGAACTGGGACTGCAGCTAGGACAGGGCAAAACAGAAGCGCAGCTTTGGGAGACACTAAAAGCCGTAAAACGCTCCCAAGTACTCTGATCCCTCTGCGTCTCTGCGTGTGAGCAGGAGTCTCTCCTTGGTCCTTTCTTGTATCCCCACTGGGAGTACAAGATGCTCTGCACAGTCTTCCAGTTCCATAGCCACCCATGCCCCGGTGGCCTCTCCCGGTCTCCTGCCAGCCAGGTTATTTCTGGTGTGGTAACGCGCGTGTGGATAGAATAGACACGCAGGCATGCTGTCTTGTGGGAGAAGAAAAGGGGGCAGAGAGGGGAAGCAGAGTCTGGGAGGCCTTGGCTTGCTTTCTGGCTGGATTTGATCACGGGATGTTAGCAAAAAAGGCCTACTTTAGCCCATTTCTCCTAGCTCACTCTCCCAATACAGCTTGCTTGTAAATCTCAGTAGAAGTTTGTGAGCTTGTTCCTTTATTTACCTATCCTGCCTGTTGGTTGTTTGGTTTTGTCTTTTTTTTCCACCTACAATATGTTTACATTCAGAGTAATGGGACCAGCATTCTTCTTTGGCTTTAAAATTCCATATGAGAAAGCTTTATTTGACTGGGCATTCAGATCAACACTCTAAGGCTTTGTGTATGTTACAGAGAGTAAAATGGCTACAATGAGACTGCAGGTATACATGACAATGAAAATTTTGCACAGAGTCTTCTCTCCAGTAGACCAAAAAGTGTAGCATTAGAGTTGAGATGACAGAAAATTTCTAAGAACACAATTCATTCTTCTTTATGTTCAACATCGATCTCTCACAAAGCATCCACAGGTAAGTGAAGAATTAAGGTAAAATCCTTTCTTCCATCTGGACAAAGACAACCTTTTCTTTGGAAAGAAAGCCTGTTGTAAGGCTTGAATTGAATTTTCACTGCAAAAAGGATGAAACTCTCCAGGTCAAATGCTGTGTAACCTGGTGACTGTAATGATATAAGACTGTGATGATAATGCCACAGTCTGTCTGGTCTGACCGCTGCATACTACCGACATGAACTACAATGAATATAAGGTTCTGGTTTTTTGTTTTATTACTTTTTTTTAACGCCTATAAACCCAGCAAACTTAGTTTTCACTCCTAAGTGGCTGTATCAGCTGAAATGAGGTATCAGATGGTGAATAAACTGCTAGCTCTGTCTTTTTGTATATTACTCAGGAAATATTTCAGTTCTTCTAAACAGTTATTTAAGCCTTGTGTTCGTGAAATTCTGGCAAGGGCTAGAAAATGCTCCAGAGATTGTGTTTTGAGGCAAGAGCTCTGAAACGTGCAAGCTTCAACTGCCATTAAAGAATGAAATTTGTTTGGCCCGGTATGTACTGCTGTAAAACTAATGGCAGGAAGAAGCATTTCTGCAAGTTCGCCCTCTTGGTGACATTGCACTGACGTGCCCCAGCTTCTACTGCAGTTGTGCTCCCTCGAAACGTGACCGGACAGCAAATAGTGTTCAGGCTAGAAGAATGGCCATATTGGTTCAGGTTAAAGTCTAAGCATCTAGCTTAGATGCCGTCTCCAACGCTTAACCCCAAGCCATTTAGGGAAAGCTGTAATTTCCCAGAAACAAACCAAAACAAAATTAAAAAAAAAAAACAGCTGACCAAAAAAAAACCCAAACAAGGAAAGCAAAGCCGAACTCATACTTTCAGAGTAAAGTTGTAGCACCTCGGTGCTCTGAAGCGGCCAGGGTTTTTGATCCAGCCTTGGCACCTGGCAACTGTTGGGGGCCGCAGCCCGAGTGTCCTGAAGGTCCGCGAGCGCGGGCAGCGGCTTCGCCGTCCCGGGGGTGGCTGGGGAGGCCGGGTGGCTGGGGCGCAGCGCGGCCGCGGGGAGGTGGCACTGTTGGGCTGCGGTTTGTACTCGTTTCACTCATCAGGTGCCAGCGACCGACTCCGAGATTATTCATCGGAATTGAGGCGGTTTGCTTTTAAATGTCGTATTCTTTCATGTTTTCAAAGGCAAGCATTTTAGTAGGGAAGGGTTTTATTTTAAAGAAGTGCTGAAAAAAATGACGTCTTCACAAGCGAGATTCAAAAAAATCGCCTCAAGAGTTGCATTGTTCAAATGCAGGGAATAGCCTATTTCGTCTTAAAATAGCCTTATCTTAAGCTAGGATTTAGTGCCATAATTCACAAACATACGATGGATTTAGTGCCATAATTCACAAACATGTGCCTGGAAGATCCTCCTTGCGTTACTGAAGCTGTTCGACTGCTATCATGTACGATCATTTCCACGTAATCATCTTTTCAGGTTTATTGAATTTAATCCTCATGCAGTTGCATTTCTTATGCTTTTATTTTATGGGAAGACTGTTCCACACTGCGGTCCTCTAATTTTAGGCAGCTGAGAATAGCTGACAATAGTTTAAGCTAATGTTTGGGTTTTTTCTTCTCTCATCACCTGAAGTGTGCATCAGGTAAAGTTAAAATAAGTATTCAGCTTTTTACCTATTAACGTGTTATGGCTGTACTGCAACGCAATTACTTTAGATGTCACTCGCAAGGAGACAGAAACAGAACGGAACTCTTCATTCCTCTGAATCTGTGAAAATGAGATCATTATGAATTTTACAGTGACAATGCACATACTACCGTAATGTGTATTATCAAAATGAAAGGATTTGTTAATTTTATTACTGCTTGGTTTTTTGGTAGAAAGAGCTACAATGGCCTAATCAGTTTATTGTAAAATTTTACAAGTCTGATTTTTTTTTATTACTTTTTTTTTTTTAAATTACAGTGGGAGAAACTACAGATGACAACCAGTGAGAGGAGGAAAATAGTTTGTTCAGTCACATTCCACGTAATTGCAATTACCTGTGTGGTTTGGTCATTGTATGTTTTAATTGATAGAACCGCTGAGGAAATTAAACAAGGCAATGATAACGGTAAGTATCTTTTACCTTCTTCAGTCTTGTTGATAATGCAATTGGTGGGTTTCAAAGGCAGCTATGTAACCAGTCACATTCTGTTCTTAAATAACAGCTCACTGATACATGGCTACATCAAATGCTTTAATGCAGAAGTAAAGAATGCATTAGTGTTAAAAGCTTATGTTATGCCCCTGCAGAGAGATCTCTACTTAGTGTAATCATTACAACAGCTTAACTAGCCTGCTGATTCTTCCTAGGTTAATCTCCTATTATCCAGATATTTCTAGAGCTCAGACAAAAAGACAAGTCAAATTCAAACAGCTCAGTGCAAGCTCAGGCCATAAACTAACAATTTATTTATATTACCCACTTGAACCTCGATATCCTGTAAAACACGATAGAGCCCTTTCATCAACAAGCTTCCTAATACAAACTTCCAAGAGACCGTGTTCCAGTTGTGTTAGTCCTTCATGTGGGACTTAAGTAGCACAGAAAGCCATTCCTGCGTCCTTTCGAATAGAATTTCACTGTGAATGTCCATGTTCCAGTTGTGTTTATTGTGAGGGTGGTCAAACACTGGAACAGAGAGGTCGTGGAGTCTCCCTCTGTGGAGATACTGAAAACCCAAATGGACATGTGTAACAAAATGCGTGTTTAGCATAAGTAGGTTTCTTTTTGGACTATACTTACCGTATGTGGAAACTGTATTCCAAACTGAACTACGGTTTTCCATTTCAAATCTAAGTCTACTCGGTCTTAAATTTAGTCTTAAATGTGATCATGATGATGAAGAGAATAAAAACCTTTTGAGTTTTGGTCTGAATTGACTTTAAGCACAGTAGAGGGACAAAGGGCTGTAGCTTTGTGCTATACTCTGAAGTTAACATGGAAAACAAAACAGGCGGAGCTTTGTGCCTTGCTAGTTAGATAAATATTTGATGATACTCCTGATGCTTGCCTTTCTTGCCTATGAGAGGAAAATATGTAACAAGCCTTAGTAAGTCACAGACGAATGTATACTACAAAGTCTTGTTTTGCGTTCTTTCTAAATGGGTAACCCTGTTTTTCATCTCAAAAAAACTGGCCCTGAGGACAGGACTAGGAATGGCTTTGAACTTCTGTTTATTAGTACAACTATATCACCCTACTTATTAGAAAGGGGAAAGGTATTTCTGTGGATTAGCTGAATTTACACAACAAAACAGCTAACATGAATTTTTGTTGTTACACAGAATGCGTAGGAATCACATTAATTAATCCTGGTAGGCTCAAAAAGTATTTATGATTTGTACAGAATTCAGTGTTTGCAAATGTAATGGATGATTCTCCACTAAAAAATGGACAAAGAGATGCCTTGGAGCTACTTACAACATGCAAAAATAAGTGTTTGTGAAAAGAACTCTTTTGCCCCAAAATTTGCTTGGGGCTACTTTTACGAAATCAAACGTGTATTTGGCGGGGGGGGGAGCGGGGCGCAGAGGGCAGAGACATGTATGTAGTTTGCTTTTCTCTCCACCATCTCTGTTTAAATGGGAAATGCTGGGAAAAAGACAGTGAACGCTGGAGGAAAAACACTTTATAAACATATTTTGAGTAGAAGAAAAACTGAAAGCCCTGAATAATACTAGTACTGTTTGTTAATATTGTGTACATTTAAAAATCCCTTTTTTAAATATCTCTCAAAATATTTAAAGGGATTTTTTTTCTCCTTATGAAGGAATATGATGCAAATAAATAAAAACCTCTTAATTGGTAAACCTGTCACTGGTCTAAAGAAAGGACAATTTAAAATATATTTAAAATATTCTAGAATTTATATGGCACCATGTCATGGTTTAACCCCAGCCAGCAACTAAGCACCACACAGCCGCTCGCTCACTCGCCCCTGGTGGGATGGGGGAGAGAATCAGAAGGGCAAAAGTGAGAAAACTCGTGGGCTGAGATAAAGGCAGTTTAATAGGGAAAGCAAAAGCCACACGTGCAAGCAAAGTAAACCAAGGAATTCATTCACTGCTTCCCATTGGCAGGCAGGGGTTCAGCCATCTCCAGGAAAGCAGGGCTCCATCACACGTAACAGTGACTTGGGAAGACAAACACCATCACTCTGAATGTCCCCCCCTTCCTTCTTCTTCCCCCAGCTTTATATGCTGAGCATGACGTCATATGGTATGGAATACCCCATTGGCCAGTTGGGTTAGCTGTCCTGGCCATGCTCCCTCCCAGTTTCTTGTGCACCTGGCAGGGCATGGGAAGCTGAAAAGTCCTTGACTATGTAAGCACTACTTAGCAACAACTAAAATATCAGTGTGTTATCAACATTATTCTCATACTAAATCCAAAACACAGCACTATACCAGCTACTAGGAAGAAAATTAACTCTATCCCAGCCGACACCAGGACACACCAGTGGTAGGGAATCAAGCTTCACATAAATTTGCTCTGCATGAAGAAACAGGTCTAGGCTTAGCTGAGCTTTGTCTCTTCTAATAAAGCTCAAGTCTGTGACAATATAGCAATCCTGGAATATACCGAAAGGTACCAAATTCACTGTGCCATACCAGTTAAGCAAAAAATTATGCTTCCTGTATTCCCATGGAAGAAGCAGCAGCACATCTTTACTGCTAAGAGGTGGAAGAAACTCTGAAGGAAAGCTGAGCCATTTATTCAGCCTCTTCTGAGCTCAGCGCTCCAGCTGTGACTTGCTGGTTCTAAGTGTCATTACCCACTGATGGGGCTTAGTCAGATGCAAACTGTACAGTTTTCATAATTAAGAGCAAGAAAGAGACACTGATTTTTAAAAGTAGCTATTAAAGGGGAAAAAAAAGAAAAAACACATCACTGGATATGACACCTTAGCCAAATATTCTTTGTTACTTCCTTTTGTCCCAGGAACGGGGGATTGAAGAAAGGCATGACAAGCATTTTGTGAACAAATTTAACAAATATAAAAGGATTTGTCCTTGGCAAGTTCAACTAACCAGAGTAATAGCGGTTAGGGAGATACAAAGCGATTTACCATCTTTGTATGCTTTCATTTTGGTGCAAATTAAAAAAAAATTAATTGGCTAGCACTTAATACATTGTTACCATTTCTAAGTACTACTAAACATGACAAGGAAAACTACAGCTGCTTCAAACATTTTGTGTGCTTTTGCAATAATTAATATTCTTTTGGTCTCTATTTGTTTATTTAATTAAAAGCCCAGTTCCTATGTGTTTAACAGTAAAGGGGATACTTAGATTCGTGAGACTCACACAGCTGGCTAAAAGTAAAGACTTGCTTTTGAGGAGTCCAGGTTACCAGGTCTGGGAGTCCAGATTGGCTCCTCACTGAAGCTCTTCTGCAGATTGCTTTCCTGGCTGGAGTGGCAAAAGTTTCTTCCCCGTGTAAAACTTGGGTAAAACGCACAAATATCTCCAAGTTGTTGTGATGTATCACCAGTGGTTGAATACAGCATCTGCAAGGCACCTTGAATACTACACTCAGTGAGCAAAACGTTACTCAAAGACCTTCCATATAGGACCAACAAACCTATTCAGATTGTTCAGGCTGACAGCTTAAGCATTGATACAGCGGTCTGACTCTTGTGTATGGCACTTAATCTTTAAATGTGATGAGGCAATGTGTAATGGGAAGGCTGGTAGCTCTTTATGTTAGGCTACTGAATGGTTGAAAAAAGCAGATGCAGTGGTATGAATTAACGAGAAGGCTATTCTTAATACAACATTAATTTATTCTGTTAAAATTATAAGACCAAATTTAGGCCAAAGCAAATAATTTTAACATTACTGACATCATAATCAAGTTCAAATGCTCTCATCTCTAGCTTTTTTTGTGTTAGCAGGCATATATTTTTCTGTAAATATCAATGATGTGATTGATCAATACAACGAGAAAAGTAAGAACAGATACACCAAAAACTGTAAAGTTACTTTTTTAGTACATAGGAATAGAAGTTCTGCTTTTTGATGTAGGTGTGTTCAGGGGGGGTGCACAGACAGCAGGAAGAAGAGGCCAACAAAGGCAGGTGATGCAGGAGAGAAGAGCCCTTTCCACTAGTTTCTTTTACTATACACTGACTTCAAGATGAAGCTAGGACCAGGTAATAATATTGCAAATGTTGGTGTTCCAGGTACCCTAAACAGTGTCATGCTTCTAGCACAATTAAAAACAACAGTTGTCGTTGAAGATGTCCTAATATTTCTAGGTATCCAGTTATCTCGGTTTTGGTACTTGTATTTTCACGTAAGCAAAATTATTATTGAAGAACAGTAAAATGTTTTGGTTTTGACTGTATCAAGCATTATGCTTCCTTTGTGAGAGTGGGCTTGCATTTCTTATTTCACCAACTTGTGGTGAAGTCAGTTAAAAGCGGGAGGCAGATGTAGTTTCTTGGCTGGCCTATGGGATAGGAAACTGCCGCTGTTTTCTACTTGAGCCACAACTGCCCCAATTGCGTGTACGTACCTGGGAATTCTTAGCAAGTGGCTTCTTTTCAAAATATTTTTCCGAAACTCAGTACTTGATATTCAATGTATAACAATGATAATAAATATAAATGTTTCATTTCAAAGGTGTCCTTGAATGGCCATTTTGGACAAAACTCGTCGTGGTGGCCATTGGATTCACAGGGGGCCTGGTCTTCATGTACGTGCAGTGTAAGGTTTATGTTCAGCTGTGGCGCAGGTTGAAAGCCTACAACAGAGTGATCTTTGTTCAGAACTGCCCAGACACCGCCAAAAAACTGGAGGAGAAGAACTCTTCGTGCACTCAGAGCTCGGACGTCAAGGACGCAGTGGTGGTGCCAGTAGCACAGACAGGTACAAACTCTCAGCCGGCAGCTGAAGAAACGACATCTGAGGTGATGCCAGTTTGACAAAGGCAGCTCTGTTTCTTCCTTGCAGAATAAGGCGTAGTGTTTTCTGCACTACAAATGCTGAAAGAGAGTAGAAATGACTGTGCATTTTTTTCATTAAAAAAACAAAAAAACCACACAAAAACCAAAACCCTACAAAGAAAATGGATCCAGCAAAGCAACTTGTTACTGTATGGAATGTGACCGTTCGTGAAGTAGTTTCTCAGCTAGTCAGCAAGTGTAGTGAAAGTGGAAGTGTAGAAAGTGCAATAGAGAACCGGTTTAACAGATAATGCCAAACCAATGTGACAAGAGTACTTTTTTTTTTTTTTAAAAAAATTGGATGGCTGGGAAAGTAGAAACAGACCTGATATAATCATTTTGTTTACAGAAAACAAAAACCTTTCATCTGTTTACTACTAAAAGTTGTATTTGCTATTTATCTTCTTAAAGATACACTTCAAAAGGGTACCAATCAAGTTACATGCATTAACTGAATTGAAGTATAAAGAGCTGTATCACAGCACTCACTCTCTAAGCCTCACACGCACACGTTCATGTGACTGCACTGGAGCCTGAATGTTTGGGCAGCTGTGTCAACTAAGGATATTTGAAACATTTGAAGGGTAGCATTGTTTTTAAATATGCCTGAATTTTTGAAAAGTAAGCAATTCCAACCAGGATAAACTCATATCTCCATAAGCTACAGATATTTTTTTAAGCACAGCTGTCAGCAAAATAAGTACAGGAAGGAGACAATGTATAGATACATATTTAGAACAGCAGCCCAGCTGTTTATTTTACTTTGCAAGAGTGAATTAGACATTAATTGAATATACAAAGTTTTGAGGCAGAACTATAAATGAAAAAATGTAGTTTACTGCAGCATTGCACAAAAGTAAATTGCGTATTATCAAAGGTCTGAAAAAGGATGACATATAAGGAAGATGGGAGCCATTTCTGGTTTTACTTTTTAAGATTCATGATACAGAAAGGTAGACGTAAGAGAATATACCTACGTATCTTACGAGAACATTAGTTTTTATCTCCTTGTTCTGAAAAGTTAGTTTTTATCTTCCTGACTGAAAAAATAAATCAATGGTTTCCCTCTGTACAGGTAAACTCGAGATGTTAGAAATTCAACAGTTCAGTTGTTAACTTTGTGTTTTGAGCATTCTCATATAAAAATGACGTGTGAATAGCATTAAAGGGTGCAATAGATAAATGAATGTAGATATAATACTGTGTCCAACAGGGTGAAGTATATATAAAGAAACAATTTTGTGATTCACTTCTCATACCTGTGACGTTTACCATCAGGACACAACAGCAAGTATTCACTCGGAGTAGTTATGTGCTGGCATGGAAAGTCGGGGGCCTGAACGTAATGTATATTTTAAAAACAAGTTAAAGGTTCTTTTTTGGTCTTGTATTTGGGTAAAGGAGGAAAAGCAACCAAGGAAATAAAGAACCAGAGTAAAGAGGATAGGAGATCACAGGTTCGTTCAAAGGGGGAAATCTGCCACAATTACACGTGAACTAGACTTCTGCAGAAGCCTTGCGGTTTCTAATGGTACATTTCCTCTTTACAGACTCAAATATCTACAATTAAATAACAGAATCTATGATTAAACAACAGTTATCCCATTCTTGCAGATATCCAGGGTGCTGGGCCTAAGATGTATTGGAGTTTATATATTAGGCATTCTTCGTGAATGTGTTTACTGGCTTAAGGCTCAGGGAATACTGCACCTAGCAGCGTTAGCAAGAAATGTGTCTTTTATCAGACCATTATGTTCTTTTGTATTGGAATTGCTCGTGTAATTTGGCTGTGACTAAGTGATTGTCATCTGGCTAGACAGGACACAAAATCTTGGTGCTTGAACAGGTCCTAAATACATATTAATATTTGCTCTAAGTTACCCCAGGTGAGTTGGATTGATGTTTAAGTTTTTCACATAATGACATGCACTTTTCACATAAAATGACTTTTCAATTATACAATTGCGAATTGGCATTGCAGCAGCGTCTTATTTGAAATCTCATACAAGAGTAACAAAATAATTTCTCTGTTTATAATTGTGGAGGAGACTTCAGAAGGTCTTCAGAAAACCATGGCAGTAGTAAGGAATGCCTCATAATTGCACATGTTTAAGATAGTCTGCAAGGCATGGTTTTCATAAAAGTGTAAATCTAGTTGCTAAAAAGTAAATCTCATTATATCTGAAGTTGGACACTTAAAATTACTAGCTGCATCTCAATGTTTAGAATGATGTTTACAATAAAGCCTGATGAATCATAGCAAATTTGACTGACAAGGAACATTATTATGGAAGATAATTAAGAGTTTTCTGAAATAATCAGAAAGTTTCTTACTAAATGACAGTAACCCTGCTTCTTTAGCCAGCTTGTTCTTTGACCTGCTGTAGCATCATGACCCCACTAAAAGTACTTTATCCCCTATTTTGACAGTTTACTGGAGACTAATTCACATTGTTTTTTTCTTGAACAAATATAAAATTCAACTCGAAGAAAAAAATGCCCAAGGCTTCCTGAAGCGGATTTAGAGCAACCAACAAGATTACTGTACATTTTTAAAAATACACTGAAGAGTCAGCAACAGAACAGACAACTTGCAAATTTTATACTAACAGCTTCAACTTCAAAACACTGTTTTGGCACTCATCTCAACTACGTGTGCAACTGAGCCTACAGTTAGTTAGATATAAGAATGGAGAAAGACTTCAGCTGAAATTCCTCCTCTCCCTTTGAAATATTAATTTGGACAGCAGAAAAAGGAGCAAAATGGGACAGTGTCTGCTGAGACGCTGCAAGAGAGATTACAGCAGGCTTGAAGCAGTCTTTAACCTTTTAAAGCATTACAGTATTAGCCCGTGCATCCCTTTCTCTTCTTAGGTGCAGTGGGTACTCTAGAGCTTTCAGGGATTTCATGCAGGATTGGAATTTGTTCCTGAAGCAGGGTGGTTCCTCTTCAAGAGGGCAAGGAGCTATTCACACCAGCATGCCTTGGATACAGGTCTGCATGAATAAGGAAGGTGCACGAATACAGACACTAGACAGCTGCTTATCAACCAGTGCTTTTTTATTCCCACACAAAGCACAATTTTCTGTATTAATTTAATGACCACAGGATTCTATCCTGCAAAAACAGTATACTGAAAGTTTTAAGATACATTCTAAGACTTTTTAATGAAAATGATATATCAAATAAAAATCCGTATCAAACTGCCCGTGTAGCCACCACAGTGCATCTCAGGCAAACACGCGGACAGCGGAATTTAGCCTGGCTAAACCCACAGGGGCAGAACCTTGCTCTGAGCTGCCATGATGGAGAAGAGCTACACCTGCATTCTTGTTTAAGCAAAGTTGTAGTGAAGGTAGGTAGAAGAAACCTGGTGTCAGATCAGATCTGGAATTCTAAAGAAGATACTCTTAACCTGTGAACATGCACGTTTCTTTTCCTGTTTTAAGTTAAAAGCATTATGAAGTTTATTTCAAACTGGCATAACATACCACTTTTGACTATCATTACCATTACAAAGATTCTCAACTACTCCAATTGTGCCATTCACACACTGCTATATCTGAAAGCAGTGTTTATTTTTGTTGTGTAGAAAAAAAATAGTAATTCCCCATCACCAGAACAAACCATTTATAATTTCTAATAATGCAACGAAACTTATTCTATGATGAAAATATTTTACTGTGTATAATATTTGGAACTATGAGTTTGTGGTACTTGTTTAACTCCCTCTCTTTTGCAAAAGAAAAATTGTATGTTCTTGTGGGTGAATGTGTACTGAAAGACAGAAGGTAAAGGAAACAAAAGTAATATATCTGCTTATTGTTGTGAAAAAAATGTATTTGTATTAAACAAATGACCCAAATTACTGTAGTATTCTACATTTGTCACTTTGTTATATAGAGCATCACATGCTGAACGTGAATTGGCAACACCACACTCTTGCAAGAAAGGTGAACAATATATTCAGCTGCATACTTAAAATTAATAAACTTGCTGGCTCAGAGTGGCTAGTTTTGGGTACCACACCTTGGCAGAACGCTCGGGAAAATACCTCACAGTACAAAAACACTTGTAAAGAACTATGGTTGTTAACTTGCAGAAAGGAAGACTGGGAAGGGGATGTATAAGAACAGGCTTCAACTCCATAAAGAACTCCCAGAAAGCAACTGGTTTTACATCCATAGCAAAATGAACAACTAGCACTGGGTTTCAACTGCAGGAGGGTAAGAGGAAGAAAACTTCTTAAGGAGAGCAGTGCCTTGGAATGAACTGTTTGTTATATGTGATAAAGCCAATTCTACATTAGATAGTTGGAATGAATCAGGTTCCTTTTTTATTATTTTAGAATTCTACTTGGTGAGATTTTCTCCTTTTCCAAAAACCTTAAATGCTTTTTTTAATCAAAAGAAATATTGCATGTTTGCATTATAAAAGAACCTGTGTACTTTAAGTCAGGTGTACAACCAAAGAAAGTATACTATCTTGATAGATACACAGCATTCCAACCAAACTACAAATTTAGTTTTCTAAAGAGGGTTGTATCCATCTACCTTTTATCTTTATCCTAGATTGTCAGCTGGGGAGAGAGCGGGCTAAGTTTCGGAACCTCACACTTCTAGCTGGAATAAGTCATCATATGGCTGTGACTGCTAAGAATATACATTCAAAACACAGGAGAAGTGTTCTAACAAATCACATTCCCTACATCCAAGGCCAACAGATGATTGTTCATTTTGTTAAAGCTGCCCTAACTAGCTCACCATTTAAATCAGAGATGGATTAATGAATCTCTACAAGATGTAATACAGAAGAGACAGCATAACCAAGGAAATTCCAGTAATAAAGATATATTCATTTCCATTTATTACAGCATATGGAAAAATAGAACCAAATTTGGTTTTAGAATTAAGACAATAAAGGTATAGTTCACTATACCTTTGCTTTGCACACAAGAGTTCAAATCTCTTGATGAAGGGTACTATTAGAACACAAAACACATCTCTGTTCAGTTTGCTCTCTGTGTACACATAAAGAAACACGCTATACAGTATTTACTCACACCTTCCTCCCCCCAAATATTGGCTGTTCTGCATGAACTTTATCCAAAAGCCAAAAAAAATTGTCAGTTAACAAAGACTCATCCGAAGTACTTTGAATGGTGTACCACATCTGCTACCTATGACATGGAGCTCAGAAAATAACCTCGGATAAATTTTACACCGTGGTTGAGAACACAACGGTTCCAGGTCTGCTGGAGAGGGTGGGCCCTGGGACGAATATGCCCTTCTATTACTTGCAAATACTTATGACTGATACTAACTGAATCACAGAACTTCCTTTTGTTTTTAAGCAGCTCAAAGGTAAAATATATGAAAATACAATAATCAGCACCATCCCAAATAAAAATAGGCATTATCACTTCATAAATTTTCAAATCAGCGTGTTACTGTCTTGGTTGACTATGTGTGAACTTACACAAATAGGAGCTGATATTAGTAGAATGCTGCCACCTTTCTGTATTTCTTTAGAAAATGCTACTGTTTTTAGAGTAATGCTGGCACTGGTATAACAGCTTAGTTGAAAGTTTAAATAGTTTTATTTTTCATTTGTAATAGGTAACTTGTTATACATTAAATTGTTCCTTTTAAGAAAACTGGGCAGTATTTGCAATACAAGCAGCGAAGGCTTAGGGAACCTGATTACAGGACCACTATCGTAAGTCTCCCAGAGTCAGGCAATTTTTAGAGTTTCATTATAGGAACTCTGCACACGATCTTGCTAGCTGTATTTAAGGCAACAGCTTAAATTGCAGTGTATAAATCACAACACCTCATTAGCAAAGTTTCTTACCTTCCTATAACTTACTTCTTTTTAGGAAGAAAGTCTGGAAGTCAATTATAATGAATTTTTACTCTTGAAAGAGCTAGAAGATAGAAATATGATGTATGCATTGTAGCATGCTGAGACTGACCAAACCAGCCCTTTACTAGAAGGGCTTTCTTGGCCCTTTACTAGAAAACTCAGCCTGGAGGATTCCTTAAGTGGAGAACTTTTTCTGCTGAGAAAAAAACAATAATGTCTTTTTTTTTTTTTTTTTTTCCCCCCAACTCCTGCCTATCTGCCACGTGTCCAGCAAAAAAGAGTTTTGTAAAAGTTAGACTCCAACATAACACATTTTCGGATCCCAAGCATTACAGAGATGAGTACACATGCTATTGCAATCAAAGACAAAAAAAAAAAAAAAACCCACACATAAGATACTCTTGAAGTGTATTCCTTGAACTACTTAGGAATGGCTGAGAAAATGGTTCATATATGTTGCCTTTTTGACTTGTTGCATCCCACTGCACATCCTGGCATTCCATAAGGATTGACACATACGTTGGTGGTGGAAAAAAGAAAAAATACAATAATGAGGCTAAGTGTTTCACTGTATTCTTGTTTCTCCACATCACAAATGCTGGAAGTCTCATCCCTTTAGAAGCAACTTTGTGGACCAGATTGGAAAGCCATGGTGAACAGTTCCATTAATTCAGTCACATTTGTTTCCAACACTAAAGAACTGTAAATTAATTAATCCACTGCATACAACCAGCCTTGAGAAGGATAGTGTTTTCTATTTTGTTTTTGGGGGGTTTTTTTGTTTGTGTTTTTTTTTTTTTTTAAATCAACATTTGCCTTGTTTACATGAAAAAATCATACTGCTATGGGAATTAAAGTCAGCTGGTTCTTTCCAACTGAGACCACCAATAGAGAAAGTTCCAGAATCAGAGCGCAACTAACAATTCAGCTGCTACTGAAAGTTTGAATGCAATTCAGCCAGTTCCTTAGAGAAGTCTTAGCTCTCCAAGGCTGGCTGGAGTAAAAGTGTAACTTAGTAAGTACACTGCAAAGTACAGTGTAACAAATACATTAGAATACATTAAAATACATTAAAAAACCCCAAAGTTCTTATATAAAAGTGGCTTTCCATGTTAAAATGTTACTATCTGATTGAAATTTTATATGCTTAATATGAGCCCTGATAATTAAAGAAACTTGAGTTTTAACTAGTACAGCTTTTAGTTAACAATTAATAAAAACAGGGACATTGTGAAGCAATATCTGACAAGTTAAGAATGAAAGAAGTCTTCCATAAAATTAATCTTTAACCAGAAAAAAACTGTCAATTACAGAGAATTACAATAGAGGATTTAGCATTAAAGTCTGTAATCCTTAGTTACAAATGAACAGAATTTCAAGGTATTCCCTACAGCAAGTTTGTAAGAACAGAGAACAGCACATAAATATTTCCCGTTCCCGCTGTTAAGAGCAGCTGCTTTCTAGATTTTAATTTTAAAGAAACAGAGTAACAATTCAGAACTCCTGAGAGCATTCATCCTCCTTTTCCACCATAGGGAAGAAACTCATCAACATACAAAACCCTAATTGGATTATGAAACTGATAGAAGAGATTCCATTATCTTGTCTTAGTAACACACATGAGGCAGAAGAGTCTCTCTACCCCCACTCCAGGCTTCTCAACACAAAAACTCTGAGCACAGAAATAATAAATAAATAAATAAATAGCTTTGGTGGTTTTTTCCCCCATTGCCACACTAGTATTCTGCAACAAAACTCATCTGGTGAATTGGTCTTGCACATTATCAACTTAAGCCCAGATTACTTTTCAATTCAAATACAAATGTTTGACAGCTACATACTGTTTTTTCTCATAAATCAACGTAAGAAGTTCACACTTAGAAACTGTTCTTTTTTCATTACTTATGCTGCAGGTCAACAAGACAGTTTAAAAGCCAGCTAAACAAGCAGTGAATACACAGACTTCAAGGGAGAAAATCCACAAACTCAACAAAGTCCAAATTGTAAACACGTTCTTGAAGTGTGAACAACAGATGTTAAAAAAGAAATCACTTCAAGTATTTGACTATCACATCAACCACACAAGTAATAATTACTTTTTTATAATGCCTTATTAGTGAATTGTTTCAAGGAATATAGAAAATCTCATTCTCCATAACTTTGCGGGACAATCTTTTTCAAAACATTCACCGGGATGTCAGCCTAATATACTGTCATTACTGTGACATGCAACCTCCTAGTTACCTTACTGTTCATTTTCCTTCTGTATTTTACCCAATGTGATGGGAAAGTGACTTTTTCTGCAAGGTTTTAACTTACAACTTCAAAGCACATCAGACACTCCATACAAGCAAAAATTTAAGATGAATCTTCTGAAAGGCAAAATCTGTCAAACCACTGAACAAACACACACACGGCTTTAGTTCAGACCAATTACCCTGGCTCAGCTTCCATCAGAGTTTAACACCTCAAGTTTTATAAATCAAAACAAGCTGAATTCCACAACACAGCCCCATTTAACAAACTTAAAAAAGTATCAAAGGCCTGCCCTGAACTTCAGCACACTTATTTCTAAAACACAAACACAAAGGAGTGATGTGATGGCCTAGAAATATGGCCGGTGTCAGAGGATAAGACCTCTAGCCAGGTTTAAGACTTGCAGTCTGTCTGAAGATGCATTAGATCACTCACGCATGCTTCAGGTCTGTTAAATTTATTCAGGTTTCTTCTTTAATTTAAGGAGGACAATGGTTAATTCTCTATTACCTAAATAGATTGGTTTCCTAAAACATGAAAAGATAGCACAAGCGTATTTTGTAAAGAGGGAAAAACTTAATATAGATGTTAATAGAATAACACTCATCAGTAATACTTACTGCGCAGCTAAGAAAATACACACCTGGTTATCTGTAAAAGAAATCTGGGAAACCCACATAACTATTTACCATGACAAAGCCTTGCTGTTTAACACTCAGAACTGTATTGGGAATCAAGTACTAGAGAGATCATCCACCAGGAATAATTAATTCCACATAATTAACAGGCATCTGAATTGTGACTGCTACAATGTGTACAGACAGTACTGAACTGTGACTTCTCTGCCCAGACAATCTAATCCGCACTAACAGAGACGTCTTACTTAATCCCTGCTGTGAAATTATCCCTGGCTTTGCCCTTGCGCTCCCCCCCCGCTTTTTTTGTTTGTTTTACGGTATTTAAAGTGAGAATCTGCTACGAACCTTCCTAAAAGACACATTTAAAGGCATCTAAAGAGTTGCTTCATAAAGCAAGCCTGCTATTTAAAAGTCCTAAGCAACTGAATTTTAAAATGCACAGCTTTCTCAACAGAGGGGTCAGTGAAAAAAAAAAGACAAAAAATACATTTAAAAACAGACTGTAGGGACTTTAATTGGCTTCTGATCTGAATTCTTCAATACAGAGTGATGAGGGCAGTGTAATTCTGTCAAATTCTCTTGACAAAACATTAAAATACTCAATATTTTATTGAAGTCCTTCCAGCTCTCTATGTTCCTGACAGATTCTCAGATAAGAGAAGGTACAGGAGAAGAGTTCTTCATGATTAACTGATGCTCCATGTATCTCATCTTCTGCATATACATTTCCACCAAATGTTTACCAGGGTACCTGCCATTTATGTACTAAATGACACATTCTTGCCACTACCAGGAAAAGGTAAGGATTTCCCACCACGAAGTATTTCTAACAGCTATCTGAATCCTGACTGCTCTATGACCAGGGAAGAGGTACTACACTAATCAGGATTTCAAGATATAAACTACAATTGCTTTGTCAACTCAGGAGCCTGCATCCTAAAAAGAAGGTACAGTATGAGAAGTAAGGACACAATTAAGATTTTAAAGTATTTATTTATATTCAAAATTTTTTCTCCAATAATGTACAGTTTTACCTAACAATATACTGTTTACTCTTTACCACAGGTACATAGAGAGCTCATAAAAAAATGCAACTAGAAAAGCTTTTGCAAATATAGTTAGAATTTATTCCTGTTTCCAGTGATAATTAAAATAGATTTCTTACAATTCCCTTCAGCTGTTTCAGCTCTTGAATCAGCTGGTGCTCATTAGGCCACCTCTTCTGCTTTATTCAATTCTTCTTTAGCTTCCACATCTGCCCCCTCAGGGTGACTGCAAGCAGCATCCCTAGCTGAGAGCTTTTTCATTTTGATGTTTGGCAGTTTCCTCAGATCACCATCCCATTCTCTTAAAGAAAAAAAAAAAAAAGTCACAAAAGAAAATTACCAATAGAAATAGCAAGACAAAATGGCAGAATTAATTCACCTTTCCTCAAAGATAGTAACTCAAGTGAGGCTGTTTTTCTAAATTATACTCTCAGTCCCACTGCAGTATGAATAAGCACCAATGTTTTCACCTGATCTTGTACACTACAGCAGCTATAATTTGTCTGTGAAGAATTAAGTACCTTCAGATTTGACATTCTGAACAAAAAATATGTCTGATTCACTTTATTCCCACAGACTATTTGTATCCTCCATTACTTTAGGCCACCTGCTTTTAGGTTTGATACACTAAACTCCAAATCTTGTAAGCAACGGAAAAGCAGTTTGGAAGAGTTTCTTCATTTGGATGCTGAATTTGCAGAGCTAATGTACATGTACATAAAGTCCTTCATTATGATTTATGGTAACTGTTAACATCTTGTATGACTGACTTCAAGGGGACACAAAATGTTAGTAAACATTAATTCACATGATAAGTATATTATTTCAAAAGGCACCATGAAGGAGGAAGGGTTCATTTAAATATCACAAGTCAAATCCAGTACTCAATTAACAGAATGCTTGCTTGATTATAGTCAGTGCACTTCATGGATAATTTTTCTCAAGGGCAAAGACAGTATTTGCCAATTATAAGACAGACATGTTTTTGCTCTACCAAGGTAATAAAACAACACTTCCATCAGCTGTCCCAGTACAAGAAGTCAATTGTGTATTTAAAAACACAGCAGCCAGAGGCCTGTCTCTTCTTTGAGATTTCTGGCTTTATTCCAATATCCTGTAAGTATGAATTCTGGCTATATACCACCCCTCAGAGTTGATGGTATATCACTCCTGGCAACATAAGCATTCATAAATCTTTTTTTCCCTTTAAAGTAACTCATTTGATAGAGCCGTCAGCAAGAGTGTTCATTCAATCCATTACCAAGGCATATTGGCTTGCTGCCCCAGATGAGCTAGCAGCAAGTTTCACAGCTCCTACATCATTTAACTGGATGCAAGTCATCAGTTTGCTTAGGATTTTCAACTAGCATTACACACAAACCCTGCTGCAGACTCTATTACACCTAGAGTTAGATCTTAGAAAACATGACTAAAAACTTAGTGCTGTTTTAGTTACTTAATGATAAGTTCTGACTATAAATAACTTAGGTCACTATGTTATATGTCTACAATTACCATCTGAAATCTCATTTCAGATAAGAAAACAGTGTAATTCCATTTATCAGTAAATCTATGTCTTGATCCTTAAACACTAACAGTAAATGCTAATTCTTTTTGTGTAAATCAGTGAACAGCTGAGGTGAGAATTTTAGGTAAAGAGAAAATATTCTCTAAGAATATCAAAAAAAAGATACTTAAGTTCCAGAAATGGCATTCTGACTGATTTCTGACCCTTCCAATGATTAACTGTCACCTGTGTTTAGCTTGTAACACCTAAGAAATGCCGAAATAGCAACACTATACCTAGTCTGCTTTTTCAAACGACAAATTCTTTGACAGTTCTGCATAAATTCTTTTTTCAGAAAAAGGACATACAACATGTCAATTTCAGAAACACTGTTTTGCATAAAAAGATTAGTAGTAATAATAAAAAGAACTTACCTGAAAAATTTAAGATGCTTTCTGTTCATAATGTCTGGGATTTCTAATTGGAATGAAATTAAGTTCTATTAGATATGTTACTCAAGTGAGTCTCATTTCAAAGAAAGAAACGTGAGCTAAAGCTCTGAAAATATTATTTCAGAGATTAAAAGACCAAGAAAATCAGAATGAAGATTCATATTAGAAAGTTTCTAGAGCAATATATAAACAGGAAGACCTCTCACTGCTAAAGAAAAGGAAGTGAACTTATACCTATGAACTGTTCCAGAATTCAAATGTACTAGTTACTGAAAATCCAATCCTGACAAATAATAAAAAGAGGGTGCTTCATTTTCTCTTAACTGACACATCTGAGAAATAGCAAAATTTTAAGCACTTAAAGTTTCCCTTTAAAAAAAGTCTTGTGAAGAATCTAAGAAAATAATTAATTTTTTATTTGTTTTAAAAGCATAACTAACATCCTCAACCAAGATCAAGGTCTGGTCATGCTAGTTTTTAACAGACATTCACTCACCCACATAATAAAAAGACAATTCTGCTCTGCAGAACTTACTATAAATATGCACAACAGATAAAAGGTAAAATAAGAAAGCTTAGTTTCAAAGCTGACCTAAATATACAAGCCTCACTCTAAATTAATGAGTACTAAGTGGTCCATAAGTATTTTGAAATGTTTTTGGAAAAAAATTTCAGAGCACTTAAGACACTATTGCAAGCAAGACAGATCAGCAGTAGAGTTAGGAAAGTAACTCTGATAATTCAAGTAAGAAAATGTAACAAACAGTTAAATACACTTCGTAAAATCTACCATTCAGTACAAGAATATATATGTGTGTGGTTTTAAAATATAAACACTGGGAAGAGTACAGTAAGATGTCAGGTGTTTAAGTAGAACATATTCTTGGATTCTGGAATATAATACTACTTCCTTCCACCTGCAATGAGACAGCCTGAGAGCAAAGAATGGCTATTTGATAACAATTAGTCTCACTCCAATGCAATCATAGTTTCCATTGTTAAATACCTGTTCTATAAACCACTCAATACTGGGAAACTAGCATGCCATGGTTGCTGAAATGTCTGTTAAATACTGCAGTAAATGCAACATAATATTTATGTAAACTGTTGGCATCTGTCTCCTCTCATGAGCTGATATTCCTCTAGGTTGAACAGAAACAAACACCAATAGTTTTAACGACTGAAAATTTTCAGTCTTCCCCACTAACAGAAATAACTGACATATACTCACTACAAATCTTTACCTTTGGTAGTAAAAAGGAAGGCAAACACCTTGTACAGAGACCTATGGGACAGACCTTTTTTTTTTTCCCCTCCTGGAGTAGCCACAACGTTCCTACTAGATAAACTCATGCAGAATTTTACCTATGATGCTGTCCTGGTTTTGGCTGGGATAGAGTTAAATTTCTTCCTAGTGCTGTGTCTTGGATTTAATATGAGAAGAATATTGATAACACACTGATGTTTTCAGTTGTTGCTAAGTACCCTCCTAGTCCAAGGACAGCTCCCATGCCTACTGACTGAGCTAGGTGCACAAGATGGGAGGGAACATAGTCAGGACAGCCAGCCCAGCTGGCCAACGGGGTATTCCATACCATGTGATGTCATGCTCAGTATATGAATGGTAGGCGTGTTCCAGGAAGTACCGATCGCTACTTGGTTATCGGTCAGCACAGGTGGTGAGCAACTGCATTGTGCATCACTCATTTTGTATATTCTATTATCATTATTATTTTCCCTGTTCTGTTCTATTAAACTATCTTTATCTCAACCCACAAGTTTTTCTCACTCTTACCCTTCCGATTCTCTGCTCATCCTACTGGGGGGGGTGGGGCGGGAGGTGGGGGGAAGGGAGTGAGCAAGCAGCTGCATGGTATTTGGCTGCCTGCCAGGTTAAACCACAACACATGCCTAAGCTGCTTTGCCTTGATTCAGTGTCATTCTTTTCTTGGTCAGTCCTGAAGTATTGCAAGTGACCTGTGTTTAACATCTTCACTAATTTGTAGAGATTTATGCCTTAGGAGCCTTGAAATTTTTGCATAGTATAAAACACATTATTGCCATCTATGAAGTGTACAGATTTCACAGCAACAGGTCGCTCAACAAAGACAACTGCTTGCTATCCCTGTAATGTTAAATCCTCTTTACTATTTTAGCTCTTAAAAACATGACATTTCAGGAACTTCTTATACTGTCCTTGAGCAAACCCTGAATATACAGTTCTGCCTTTGTTCATCTATCAATTTTCCTGAGTCTTACAGTAATGAATCAGATGATGCTATCAATGCAGGATTATAGATGATTTTGCTACTGCAGAATGTAGGATGATGGCACCTGTCACTATCTTTTTGGCCAAATAGTCTTTATTGTTCTGAAATTATTTCTTCCCTTCACATTGGGTTACAAAGTTACCAACTGAAGAACAATAATATATGCAACAGTTTTTGATACCAATTACATTGATTTCTGCAGCCTGCTTCTTGGTAAATAGATACAGTGATACTGCTCACAGCCGATCAAGGCAAGGCAAAGAAACATATACCTAATCTATACCTAATCCTTTTTTGGTCTGCTGATTCCTGGGTTCTGATAAACACCAATGCCACATTAGGTCCATCCTTCCCAACTAAGCATTGAAACAAAGCCATGGTCCCTCTTGTTTTCTTTGTAATTGTTCGAATTGCACTCTTGGCAGCACAGTGCCAAATGCTGAAATGTCCTAGCCTCCACATGAGAAAAAGAAGTTCTTCCCTTCTCTCAGATATTGTACAAGGAGCAATGCCTACTCTTTTTTGCCTAGGACAGAGCTTAGTGATATAAACAGTGAGTGTTTATACAGTGGCAGAAGTGGCACTGTGTTTATTTGGGCCAACTGCCCCAGAAATGTGCTGACATTTCTATTTGTTCCTTCTATCAAAGCACTGACCCAACACATGGTTCAGTATTATTCTCAGACAAACCAGGACTAAATGACAAGACTTTCAAATTAAGCCCTTTCAATTGCTTTGCTTTGGCTGAAAAAAACACCTTGGAAAGCATTCAATGGGTTTTATTAACTTACATAGGACATTTTGCAAACAGAATATTCTAATAGTTTTATCTAGCCTGTCATTCAGGGCTCTCCCCAGCATCACAAGAAAGCAGGCATTCTGAAGCAGAAGATTCTGTGACAAACCAAGATTTGGAACTGAATTGATCTTTAGTGCTTTGGCAATGGCAAAATTTGTAAGTTCTGCTTACATGTGTGTTTGCAATATGTTACAGAATACAAACCCCAGCGTGGCAGATTAGGAACAGAACTAGAAGCTCTAGTCCCGTTCTGTTTTGTGTGTAGAAATAAAGTAATTACATACTGCACAGTAGCTGATTTTTTTAATTATAGTGGAAAGCTGCAGTAGCACTGTATTTTCAGACTAATAACAATTCTCTTACTCAGAAGTATCTCCTTAGCATGCACCAGTGTCATGTTTTTTGCTGCTACTTGCTAAGCAACTTCTTAGGTTGCTTTAAAAATATTAAGTCACAGGAGAGTGTTTTCTGAACTAAAGATGGAAAAAATGGAAGATGGAGAAATATGGCACAGGGGTTAGTGGAAAAGAAATGAAGACAGTGTTTTGGGGAGCAGACACTGTCTTGCATTTCTAAGACGAAGTATTCAGTAACCTATGTCTTGTAATAAAACAGCAGCAAAAAATTTAAGTAAGCATTTTTTTCATGTTTCTGACCCTTTCAGATAATGTTTTATTTTCCTATCTTTCTTTTGAGGAAGAACAAACAGCACGTTAGCTCTCAAACTTTGTCATAAAGATGTTAGTGCTTAACACTATTTCATGACAAGGAAAAAGATTAAGGGACTGAGCTTAATTTGTAACACAGAACTTGCATACAATACTGTAAAGTCAGCACCTTTTCAACTGTTTGGATGGAGAAGCACTGGACCAGATTACTTCAAAGTTCTGATGGGCATCAGAAGTAAAAAGTTTCTGTCAGCTGTAGGTCTAACCGATCCTGCCTCTGTGCACAGGCTTCAGCTGCAGGGCTTCTAAAGCATAATTAGGAAAACAAGGGGATAGAGGAACCAATCCCCATGTCAGAGTGCCCTTCTAGAGCTGTGTCCCACAGTACTACTTTTTAACCAAGTGCTCTGTGAGAGTCTGCTGAGATGTTTTATTTCCTTCCAGAAGTATGCTGTTAATAAAAACATCATTGTTCTTCATAGCAGTAACATTTCTCTCTCCCAAAGCAAAGATTTGCACAAGAGATTTACCTAAATCTCACAAGGACTGAAATGTCACTGCTCTGACAGTTCTCTGCACGGAATATAGGCTGCATATATATCATATTGTTAGAACTGTCATACAGAGAAACACCCAAGTCAGGTCAAAGGATGATACTGCAGCCTGAAGTTAAAAAAGGAAAAGGATGTTAGAAACTCTAGATGCTCTTTAGATAAAGAATCATTCAGTTACACAATAATGATCGTTACAAAAAACCGCAGCTAACAAACACTACAGTAGTTACACTAGCAGATACATGTAAATGATACAACTTTCATCTTTTCTTATATCAATTTTCTTATATCCTGAAGTTTCAAGAATTAACTAATAAAACTGGTGCGTTTAGCTTTAAAGGCCATTTTTCCCCAGGATTAACATTATGCTTCCGAGAGAACATGCAAGGTAATTAGAAGGAAGTTATCAAAAATGTATGATGTTCAGATGAAATAATTATGCTTCTCTACCGAGAGCATGCTAACTCTGAGTTCCAAGGGCACATCCTGTAAATATCTAGGATTCCCCTTCAATAGCTTTACTATAAACATGTAAGACAAGATTAAAAAACAAACATACACAAGTGACAACATCAGGAAGAAAACTGCAGTAAAATTAATGAAGATATATTCAAGGAGTAAGGAAGTGACAAGTAGCTGCTAACAAAACTCAACCACCTCACACATAGACTGAATGTCCCCAGTATAGCTACTATTTTTTTAAAAAAAGACTAAAATTTACCATGCTTTTGGATATCTACCACTTTTGTAAACAGACAGTAAAGAATTAATTTTTCAAGAATTAATTTTTCATTTACATATATCTGAGATATATACACACACCACCAAATTTTAGGAGGCTTTCCTAAATGTAAACAATTCATATCACGTAGTCTCTTCATAGCAAATGCACATGCATACAAGAAATAACTAAGTTCAAGAATACGGGGAAAAACAGCAAATACTAAGTCAGTTATAAAAGCTCCCTTCACAACAGCTTCCAGGGATAATAATGAGCTAGAGCATAAAAGCACAGTTTCCAGCTGATTTCCATTTATCCCCAATCTCTAATTACAGTATTTAGCCACAAGTATTTTCTCTGAATGAATACTGTCCTAGACAGAGAGCAAAACCTGCAGCAGCTGTGATAACAAACAATGAATGATTTGAGAGTGTATTTAATATGTGAAGTTGCACCATGCTCTCTGAATGCTTTACTTACTAATACTATAATAACCTCAAATTTTGCTTACAATATTTCTGGATTCTTCTTTATTTTTATGTTGTGCTTGTGCATTTGACATTTTTCTATCTACTCCTATTGTTTTTTTCTGTCAGCTTTCCACAAAGCAGTATGGAAAAAAGGAAGAACTAAAATTTAAAAGCAAAACCAAGAAGGAGATTTTCTACAACTGAGCTATGTGATGACATTCATACTATCTACCTACCTATGACTCCCCCCCCCGCCTTTTAAGAAATCAAAGATTACACATGAAGTCACACAGCTATTCCTGAATTCCTCTGCCATTACAGGATGTGAAAGTACTAAGTAACACTGCCAAAATTTTTAGAGCCATTCATTTTCTTTATTGGTAAAATATAAATTGGGGGAAAAGGGAATGACACACAACCCAAACCTTGCTGTGCTTTGTATCCCTAACCAGAGAACAATGTAGATTTTTCATGTCTTCCATGATGTACTTTCACTGTTAGAATGACTGACTGCCTTTGAATAATACTTTAGCATTAAAGCCAAGTTCATCACTCAACTCTAACGTGCTTATTTGTTGAATAAAAATACATAAATTTCACTCCTATTTTGTACTTGACTCTCCTCAAAACAACTTTGCTTTTTGCACTTTCATTATCCCTTTGTCTTTCTCCCTTATTTCACCAGATTACTGCTGCTTCCTTTCAGCCTACTTCCAGCTATCAAATTTTCTATCTTTTATTTCTTTCTCACATGTTGCGTCTGTATGCTACCTCCAAAACCAAAAATACTTACAAAGAATTTAAGAGTTTCTTCTTAAAGACTATGCACCTTAAGAGGAAATTTTCAGCTCTAATGCTTATGTTGTGGTTTTCACACATGATGCTCCTCAGAAGATTTCATTAGATAATCTCCTGGCATAGACGGCTACCCCAAAGGAAGATAAATGGTAATAAAAAAGTTAATAAGAATATCTGGCATTATGATTTTATTCAAACTTGTGAAAACGGCCAAGGTAAATGTTTAAAAACTCAAAGTGCTTTCAGCTAGGCTCTTATCTACACGATTTTTAGTTTCAAATCTTCAGAGTTTTTGTGGATTTTTGATAATTAAGAGGTTAAGCGTTAGGGCCTTCACACAGACAGAGCATTTTCACTCCCTCCACCACCATCTCCAGTAAGTCAAAGAAAGGAGCATAACTCCTCTGCCTGAGAAGAACAAGAGGAAAAATGTGGTTTTCTACTTGTGGGTTATCATTTATGCCTGTAGAATAGAGCCTGTAGAGTAGATGTGTCACAATAGCTCACGATTTCTTCCTGGATTACCTAAATTTTAATGGGAGAACTCCAGAAATATTCAAATTTTGGAAATACATCTGTACTACTATTTCTGCTGCAACCATTCTCCCGCATGAAACACATCTCTACCTAAGTGGAATGAAGGGTCTCTTTCTGAAGATGTTTTAGGCCCACGAGTTCAGAGGCTTTGGTCCTCTTCAAGTTCATGAAACCTAAAGCTCAGTCTCTCATGATATGAAACTTGCTGAAGTTCCTCACGCCACTGGCCCACCTCAGGGGAAAGGGGCAAGTCAGGTGACCTGTTTATCCCTAACAGTAAGTTCATATATTATCAAAAGAATGTTAGAGGAAGCTGTGTATAAGGACTTCATTGGCACAAGTCCAGATAATGAAGCCCACCTAAAAAAAGTAATTAATTCGTAGAGGAAGTGATGTTGGTTGTTCCCCACATGAGCAAATAAATTCTTCATACTAATGCATGTTAAAACATGCACAGCCACTGAAGTGCATTTTTAAGACAAAAAGTACTTTGTATATAATGAAGGCCCAAGCAAGCTGCTGAACAGAATTTGTATTTGAGGCAGGTGCATTAAATCTCACTTTAGTTTCAAAAATGTATTATATATGCCTGTACTAAAGAGGCAGTACTAGCAAAAATGCAGAAAGGCAAAGTAGTAAAGCAGAAATATATGAGCCAGATCTCCACGAGCTTTTTTCCTTTTCTTCACCCTGCCCCTCCTCCCAAACTCCTCTGCAAGGCATAAATACCTAGCGGTTAGTTAATTCCTTTAACGAGGAAAATAAAAGATAATGCCTAGAAATTTCACTTAGATTCTAGCCTTGTGAGCAGGAGAAGATGTGACCACAGGATTATTTCTAATGTTTTTACATACCTATTCCATAGCCTTCATAGAGTTGTCTTTCACGTTCTATGGTCTGCTTGATGACAGTTTCCCGTGAACCATGCTGTCTTCCTTGTCTACCTTTAATACTGTTTTGTAATTCAATCTGCTCCAATTCAGCATTGAATCGACACATATAACTGAAAGAAGAAAGAAATAAAATGCATTTATGCTAGATGCAATCATGCAGAATTTTTGCAAAACAATTACTTCCATAATCTAAGAAGTTATTTTACTAATTGTATTTATTGTCTAAATTAGTCAGAGATGTTTCTTAGACTTGAACTATTACTTTAATCTTCAAACTGGAAGCTCCATTTAGGACTTCATTTGAATTATCTGCGGCTTACAGAAGGAATGGTTTTTTAATTTGCCTCTTTTTTTTTAAATATGTTTGCATAAAACAAACAAAAAAACCCAAACGCATTATTATAATTCACCTCCTCTGGAAGACCAGTGTTAAATCTAAGTATTCCTAACTTAATTGCTGAATTTCACCACCTCAATAAAAATTTTTAAAGTAAAGTTCTTCTTTGGCATGTGTTCTACACCATAGAATCATTAAGGTTGGAAAAGA